CCTGTATCCGGATACCATTCAAGATCGGAGTTGTCTGTTACATCAGTAATCCTCATTGCAGCTAACGCAGTGTGGGGATCCTCAAGTTGATAAGCATTGTTGAATCGGTGCCAACATTTGATTGCAGGATGCCCTTGTTTCCCGCAGATTTGACAGATTACTCTGGACGAATCACCATTTCCTGAGGAAGGTTGAGAAGAAGGGATTTGCTGATGAAAACCACGACCTTTTGTAGTGAAAGATCCGTGCCCCTTGGTGTTGCGACCGCGACACCTTCCTCTGTTCTGATGAGTAAACTCGTTTGAACGCATCATGTTGAAAGCAAGATGAGGAGTCACTGATGGACTTGAGTAGCTCTGAAGCTTGTCATCAAAGTTGGTAACTTTGATAACAACATCCTCAAAGCTCATTGATCCATAAGAGTCCAAAGAGTTTTCAATGACTGCAGAGATGGCTTCGTATTCTTGACCGAGTCCATTGAGTAAACTGTAGATCTTCTCTGTGTCGTCAACAGGAAAGCCGATGGAGTCCAACTGGTCACAGATAGTTTTGACCTCATTCAGATAGTCCCCCATGGGTTTTCCTTGTTTGGAGACTGTTTGAAGACGGCGTTGGAGATCAAACCGGCGTGATGGAGAGACACGGTTGTATTTCTTTGCTAACGCCAACCAGACCTCTTGAGCTGTTTGAAGACCGTAAACAGAACGAAGAGCATCTTCTCCCATGGACCCGAACAACCAAGCGAGAACATTTTGATCGTTTTGCAGCCAAACGAACAGATCTGGATTTGGGACCTCAGTAAACGAGTCGCCTACGCGTAGAACCAGAGTGGCAGAGGGACGTGGTGTTCCTCCGGTCACATGTCCCACTAACTTCTGACTTGACAGCCAATGCTCAAACTGGGTTTTCCAGAGTAAGTAGTTTGTGGCTGTCAGTCGAAGTGTGACACAGTGAGACAGATTTAGTGGTGTTGAGACAAGCATCGGAGTCGGTGACGAGACCTGTTGATGGAACAGTTGATTTCGTGGAGGTGTCGGAGACGGAACATCCGGTTGTGTCTGAACGCGTTCTCCATCCGGCGGAGCTCGAAACGGGCGTGGTGAAGCTCGATGAGTAGGGTCCGAAGACGCCATTGGAGCTGAGACCGAGTTTGGTATGGGTAATGCGGTCGGAATGGATGACGTTGCGGCGGCAAGGGAAGAGGCTCCATACGACGACGTGAACGATCCACCGGGTAACGTCGAGGTAATGGCTCCGGGAACCGTCGAGGGATGAACACCGGAGAACGCCTGAGAGTCGGAGATTGAGACCGATAGGCCTGTGGAGCTGGAAACGTTGTGTGCCATGGTTCCATGAATCGCATTGGCTTCTGATACCATATAAGCAAAGAGAGAACTTTTGTAAAATGAAGATTTCTTATTAATTTGAAAGCTTGAAGTTACAATGGTGATACGATTACATTTATAGATCATTTCGCTAAAACCCTGGAGTGCGTCTAGATCCTTCTAGCAGACACTTGTCACTCTGAGATTTGGTTAACATTTCGCAAGGTATCAAATCTGTTAGAGATTTGAATTTCGTTGTCTTGTATTGCACCCGAGCTCGCCGTTCTTCTTTTTGCAGCTTCTCTGTTTTTGTCGCAGAGTGAAGATAAAGAAGATGACCGTTGTTGACTCTTCTTTGACATGGGCTTCGTCGAGTTGCATAGGCCCAAATCCGTTTCATAACGCATCATCGATTTGGGCTTAATCTGATTAATAAGAACTTCTTGCTGTGGTAGAGTATTCGCTTTGACAATATCAAGTGGTGAATGTTATTTTATTATCGTATATTCATTACGTCCAACATTCAAAATGCAAGAATGTTTTCATTGTTAATAATACTGATTGTAAAAATAATGTATGTATACTTTTTTGTGGTTGTGTAATATGTATTATACTTGTAAAAAACTGTATGCCATTATTGTCACAGTATAGTTTATCTATGGAATATTGATGGGATATGGTTACAAGTATATAATTCTGACGAAAAATGCTGACGGTATATGCCATTGTTATTGACAATAACTTATTGTTCCTTTAAGGTTGACACTTGTTAATATTGTAGAACTTCTATAAATTAATACTTGATAAAATAATAATTACTATAAATTAATAAATTTCTTTGGTCTCGAGTTGGGACCAGTGTAAAAATTTATCAAATTCGATAAGATAATAAGATAATAATTTTTTTGAAACTCCTATGTAAATATATGGTCCCAACAGAAATATAAATTAATAATTATATAAATATATACAAATATATATATAATATTCTAAAATATGAATAATGTGTTTATTTTTACTTAAAGTTGAAATTCATTGGTGTTCATCTATTTGTTTATTACATCTCTATCTGTTATTGTTTTTTTCGATATTCATTCAAATTTGTGAAGATTTTTTGATATAAAATTTGGTTTTCTTACACGTAAATATCTATAAATGTATTGCAGTCTTGTGTTCAATTTCATTTTTTTGATAATAGCCACGGTTTCTTATAAATTTTGAAGTTTTAAACATGTATATTTTTAATAGATAAATTAATATTCTATTAAAAACTATTTTGTTATGATAACTATATTTGTTAATGATAATTTTTATTAAGTTATTCTCTTAAATTCTTAAATACAAAATTATTCAAAATTTTTTTTGAAAAAGTTATAGACAAAAACTAAATTATCTTTAAATAATTATTAATTTATAGATAAATTAATATCACAACAAATTAATAAAATTTTATGATCCCAATTTTATTAATTTATAGAGGTTTTACTGTATTATGCGCTCGCGCTTCAGACTTCACAGACATGTCCCCACGTTTATGACTTCGGAACAACACGCAGTTTTGACAAGGGTATTAATAATGATGTTACGCGTTGCATTAAAGACTCCCTGAAAAATGGGCATCAAAATATGTCCATATTTACAAGTAGCCTTATTAATAGCCCAATATGAAAGCAAGAGGTTCCTCGTTTTCAGCCCAATATGAATTGTTGACAGAATCAGGAGAAAATCAACGAAAAGATCTTGCGTAATTGTTTCTCATTTCTCCCCTTTTTCTTTTCATTTATGTTATTTAGACTGGGGATCTCAGTTTCTTATCTTATAATAGAGACCTAACCCTCGGTCTCAGTCTCAGTCTCAGTCTCTCTATCCGATTAACACAAAAGAAAGTAGATCGAGAAACCTAGGGTTCTTCTATTCTCCGTCTCTCGCTTCGATCTCGATTTGACTTCAAAGCACATAGAGGTATTTTAGGCGTGATCTGAAACCTAGATTCTAAATGGTTAGAAGTTGAAGATGGAAAGACAAACAGTGGCTTCAAGACAGGGGATTATTGCCCAAGAAAGCAAGTCCCGGATGAACCAGAACAATTTGAGAAGAGTTGTTTGACAGAAGAATAAGGAGAAGGATTTCTGTCTGATGGTAGTTTAGACAGTAAGAAGAGGGGAAGAAAAGTTGATATGACTTGTGAATCAAGGAAGAGAAAGAAGCATAAGCCAATCTAAGAATATTACCGGTACAATACGTCGTTTGATGAGTGGCTTTTTATTAGTACCATTAGTCAGCAACAGAAGGTTATTAGAAAAGCAGCTATCATGAATGATGAAGACATGAACATTGTCTCTTTTCCTAGGGCTCTGTTTTTGTCTCAAGTCGGATATTTTCATTACCATACCCAGTTCCGTTGTAAGTCCCCGTGTGTTCTTCTTTCTTAGCTTTTGACTTTGCGTTAGCTTGTACAGTTTGAAATTGAACGATTTTATACTTGATTGGCCTAAATGGTATCCTTCAGAATATGATCATGTATCCAGTTTCCATAAATAGTGTGAACATTTCTACTTTTTTTTTTATAGAAATGCTCAATATGTTTTGGCAGACTCATTGACTAAATTAGTCCTTTCTATTTTTGAATTGAACTCTTAAGAGACCCCATACAAATGAATGAACTGACTAGTTTTTGAAAAAGAAAAAGAAAAAGTTAGGCTGGGTTTAGTATAAGAACGTTTGCTGAGCCCATGGTGAGTTCAAGTCTCAAGATCTTACTCACAATATACGTTATTATAACCTTACGAGAAATACATTATCCAGTGTTTGATATAAAGCATACATTATTACAAAAACAATATGATGTATGTAGTAAGATAACGTCAGAAACACATCCAGGCTGTCATAAAAGATCAACTTTTATTGATGGTTTTGCTGAAGAAGTCACATCCGTTCGTGCACATTCCCAGTTTTCCCCAATTGAAGAAATATAATATTACATGTATGCGTGTATATATTATTATTATATTCAAATGGTCCTTTGGACATTTCTTGAAATCTCTGAGGATGCATTATTATTATATATATAATCAAGTTTGCTGGGATTGGAAAACGACGGCGCAGCCAACCGTTCATTATTGTTTCTTGTTTGTTTCATATATATTTTCCATAGCCGAACCAAGGTTGCCGCACTTTGTAATTAAGCAGTCTAGTAACTAAAAACTGAAATCTTCAATCTAAACTATTTCAAGCTTTGTTTTCTTTTGGTTTAGAGTTTTAAGCAATAAGAATAGAATGCTCATTATGTTGTTAATTCAATTAATCAAGGGATCGAATGAATTTTTTTAAAAAATCATAGGAAAGACAACACAGAAATAAATGGAAAAAAAAGATTCACACAAAAGTCAGGAAAAAAAAATAATAGTTGACAACAGAAAAAAAACCAGCAAAATTATTGGGAAGAGTATATATATATACAAGTATGGATTTGTCATTTGACTGTCGGAAGAAACTCAATCGAAACAGCTATTTCCAGCCTGTATCAATTTACAGACCTCTACGTGCACGCATATATGTACAAACAAAATCACACATGCGGGTAGATTATAAAACATACATATACCGTGATAGTATTTTTGTGAAATTGAGCCTTTCTTTGACTAATTTTCTCTATAGAGAGTGAGTTATCGATCCATGGCTGCTACTTCATCATCATCTGGTGCACACGTGCGTTCAACAAGCTGGTCCGAAGATGTTCATCCTCTGTCTCGAGCCATCGAAGATCATCTTCTGATACTGACGCGAAAACCAGAGTCTGCTTGTCGGAAACTTGGAGTCTTAAAGAATATGTACGAGGTTGTCGAAGTTTTCCTCCGTTTTCAAACGACGAAAACACAAAAAGCTTTCAAAGATTTTGAAGATGTTTCCGACGGTTTTCTCGAGGTTCTTGATATCTGCAGCACGATCAGAGACGTTTTGATGCAGATAAAAGAACAAGTAAGGGAACTCGAAACGAGCTTGAGGAGGAGACTGATCAGAAGCAATTCAGGAGGTGATCAAGAGGCTTTCTTGACGCGTGAGATCGACGTTTACGTATTTAAGAGAAGAGCGTTGAGCAGAACAATCGCCAAGAAATTGAAGAAAACAGAGGATAAGATGAAGAGGAAGAAGACGAAGAAGGGAGATTTTGGAGATGGCATTAATGTGATGAAGAAAGTTGAAGAGACGAGCTTTACTGTTTTGGTTTCTTTGTTGATCGAAGTAGTGACGACGAATAAGAGCATCCATAACCAGAGGTCGAGAAGTGGAGGTATAGGGATTTTTTCGAGGGTGTTCAGTAAGATGAATCAAGAAATTGATGCGGAGGAGCTGAAGAAGTTGAGAAACAGAGCAAAAGATTGAAGAAACAGAGAGAGAGTTGGAGTGTGTGTATAAGAAACTGTTGGAGACTAGAGTTTCTCTGCTTAACATGCTTACTGTTTGAAATTAATTCTGTGTACTTTTTAGTCGCTTCAGTTTTTTTTGTGAATATTACAGTATTTATACAATCACTTTCACAAGCTTGATTACATCACTCAGTTTTGTTTTTGAGCAAACATCACTCAGATTTCTCTTCGTAATTTGTTGGAAACAAAACAGATCAATGGGGTGAATTTCGACAATGGGCTAATTAAATGGAGCCCAATGGACCTACAGCTATTTATTATGGGCCGTCATGGAAAAAAAATCGAGGGCTGATGACGCGGAAATAGCTAAGAAACTGCGTAATAATTTGTGTCTATACATGCTGTTGACAACAGAAGTATATAATGCAATGATTGATTGATTGATTGATTCGTTATAAGTTATAACTCGTGTTGAGAAACAACAGCTCCGATCACCTCTTCGACTGAGCTCCGATCTCAGCTCGACGACCAACACTCGAGCACGATTTAAATTATGAGTAAATTGCGGAAAAGTAAAACGACACGAGATTTACGTGTTCGGCCTCCACCGCTAAAACAGCGGCAGCCTACTCACGCCGGGACCGCCTCCCGGAGAATCCACTATCACCGGAGAAAGATTACAGAGTATACACCGATTAAGCTCTCACTCTAATCGCACCTCTCTCTCACTAGGAATCGATTACAAGATTTTAATCTCTACTCACTCTCTCTCGCTTGACTAGTTACACAGCCAAAAAACAAACGCCGTTAGTCGTTAGCCGTTAGCTCACTCTGCAACTTAACGGCCTAACGATCTTTGACCTTTGACTTCGAGATGGAGAAGAACAAACTCAACGACGCCGTTCCACTTCTGGGCCTTGACACCAAACGCGCAACAAGCGAGGCCCAATGGCTTAGGTCCTTTAAGCCCAACAAATCTCCACCTAAGGACTTAGAGCCATACACCTTAACGACCAGTTCTGTTCTTCCTTCAATTCATCTTCTTTCTCCATAGCTTCTCACGCGGTCCCGGACAATGCTCCTTCTACTCGGAACAAACTTGAAGCATCTTCAATGCTTCCTCAACCTTATTTACCGGAATAACCTTGGTGAACATGTCTGCAGGATTTATTTGAGTCGGAATCTTGGTGACTTCTACCTTGTTCTCTTCTATCTTTTCACGGATGAAATGGAACTTTGTCTCCACGTGCTTCGTTCTCTCGTGGAAGACATTGTTCTTTGACAGTGCAATAGCACTTTGAGAATCACAAAACAACTCCACCTGCTTCTGACTGTAACCAAGATCTCCACACAACCCTCTAAGCCACAAAGCTTCTTTCGTTGCTTCATTCAAGGCAATATACTCCGACTCTGTAGTCGACAAAGCTACTACCTTCTGCAGACCAGACTTCCAGCTTATTGCTGTACCTCCAAACGTGAAGACAAAGCCTGTAATTGACCTCCTTCGATCCAAATCTGATGCATAGTCAGTATCACAATATCCTCTTAAAACCAGGTCTTTTCTTCGTTTAAACACCAGTCTTGTCTCAGACGTCCCTCTTAAGTACCTCAGGACCCATTTTACAGCTAACCAGTGATCCTTGATCGGATGAGCCATAAACCTACTGACCATACTAACCGGATAAGCAATATCTGGCCTTGAACCAATCATAGTATACATGATACTACCGACTGCATTAGCATACGGAATATCTCTCATATACTCAGACTGTCTTTCTAACTCTTCCTCAGTGGCCAACTTGAGTTTGAAATGAGCTCCTAACGGAGTCTTAACAGACTTGGCTTGGTCCAGGTGAAACAGTTTAAGAATCTTCTCTATGTAGTCCTTCTGAGACAATTCTATAGTGTACTCCGACCTGTTCCTCTTGATCTCCATTCCGAGAATCTTCTTTGCATGACCCAAATCTTTCATTTCAAATGCCTCACTTAGCTGGTTCTTTAGTGAACTTATCTCATCTTTGTTCTTTGATGCAACCAACATATCATCCACATAAAGAAGAAGATAGATGTACTCACCTCTTGCCAACCTCTTAACATACACACAACTGTCATGACCACTTCTTCTATAGCCAACCCCTTTCATGAACTGATTAAACTTTTGGTTCCACTGTCTCGGGCTCTGCTTTAAACCATAGAGAGATTTCTTAAGCAAACACACCATGTTTTCCTTTCCTTTCTCAATATAGCCTTCAGGTTGCCTCATGTATATCGTCTCCTCTAGGTCACCGTGCAAGAATGCAGTCTTGACATCTAACTGCTCAAGTTCCATATCTTCATAAGCAACAATCTCTAAAAGAATCCTTATTGAGACGTGCTTCACCACTGGCGCAAAGATCTCATTATAATCAATACCCTCCCTTTGAGTGAATCCCTTTGCCACAAGCCTAGCTTTGTACCGTGGCCCTTCAACACCCGGAATAGCATCTTTCCTTTTATAAACCCACTTGCAGCCGATGATTCTAGCTCCTTTTGGAAGCTCCACCACATCACAGGTCTTGTTCTTAGCCAATGAAGACATCTCTTCATCCATGGCTCCACTCCACCTTTTCCAGTCTTTGTCCTTTGTGGCTTCAAAATAACCACTCGGCTCTGCAGCTCCACCTTCTTCGGTGGTCATGAACACATATTCTACCATCTGATTTTCCCTGAATCTGAGTGGAACACGAATCTCTCTTCTCGTTCTGTCTCTCGCCAGTTGATAATCCTCTAAACTAGGTGGAGTCTCTATAGCCTCACCATCTTCATTAAGTTCTGGTTCACTTTCAGTATCGGATATCTCCTCAACATCATCTGCTGAACTTGAACTTACTGCAGACCTTCTTGACTCAGAGTTTATTTCAAACTCCACCGTTTCATTATAACCTGAATTTCCCTTCTGTTTGAGCACTGCAGACTTATACAACAGATCTTCCTTGAAGATCACATTTCTACTGACAACACATCTCTTCTCTTCTAATAACCACAACCTGTAACCATTAACTCCTGTGGGATAACCCAAGAAGACCCCCTTTTTAGCTTTTGGATTTAGCTTCCCATCATCCGTGTGAATATAGGCAATGCAGCCAAATCTCTTAAGTCCACTATAGTCTTGCTTTGAGTTATACCAAACCTCATTGGGTATCTTACAGTCTATAGCCATTGACGGAGACTTGTTGATCAGATAAACCGCTGTTGATGCCGCCTCTGCCCAGAACGTCTTTGGCAGTCCAGACTCACTAAGCATGCTTCGTACCTTGTCCATTATTGTTCTATTCATTCTCTCTGCAACTCCGTTTTGCTGCGGAGTATAAGCCACAGTCTTATGCCTAAGAACTCCATTTTCTTTGCACAATGAATCAAACAACATATTACAGAACTCAAGGCCATTATCAGTTCTGAGTTTCTTAAGCTTCCTTTCGGTCTGATTTTCAACCATTAGCCTCCACTCGTTGAACTTCTGAAACGCCTCGTCTTTGGTCTTGAGGAACTGAACCCAAACTTTCCTGCTGTGATCATCAATAATGCTCAGAAAATACTGACAATTCCCAAGTGATTTTGGAACATATGATGAACCCACAATCCGAATGAACATAGTCCAATATGGCCTTAGATGTATGCTTCCCAGTCTCAAACTTCAGTCGATGAGCCTTGCCAAAAATGCAGTCTTCACAGAAATCCAGACGAGAGATTCTTTTACCATCAAGTAAGCCTCTTTTAACCAACAGATCCAAGCCTTTTTGGCTCATGTGGCCAAGCTTACTATGCCACAGGTGTGTGTCATCTGTCTTTACTGAGCTGGAGCAAGCCCTACTATTCTTGGATATTTCTGCTTCACACAAGAAATACAGTGACTGATACCTTTTGCCTTGAAGAACAGTTCTTCCATTTTTCATAATCTTGAGATTTCCATTCTCTGAGCTATAGGTACACCCTTGTTCTTCTAATGTACCAAGTGAAAGAAGGTTCCTCTTCATATCAGGTATGAACCTGACCTTTGTTAGAATAACCTGAGATCCGTCCTGATTAGTAACCTTAACAGATCCAATTCTTTTTACCTCAGACACCGTATCATTCGCCATTCTAACTTCACCAGAGCTTCTCTCATCTAACTCAATGAACCAATCTCTCCTCCAAGACATATGAAAGGAGCAACCAGAGTCTATGACCCATTTGGTCTCTAAATCTTTTACTGTCACGTTTAAGACCTCCTCAACAAACAAAGTATCAACTCTTACCTCAACAGAGTCATTCACCAGAGATGATTCACCTCGTTGTTGTTGCCCTTTTGATCCTTCTTTTGTCCTCTTAGGGCACTGAAGTTTGAAGTGTCCTGTTTCACCACAAATCCAGCAGTTTTTCTTAGACTTATCATTTTCCTTTCCTTTCTTTGCCTTCTGCGGAGGATTGGCTTTCTTGTCATCTGTCTTTGCCCACTTAGACATAGGCCTTTCCTTGACATACAGGCTCTCTGAATCAACCTTCTGATCCTTAGAAGTCGAGCTGGACTCTTGCTCTTTCGACTTGATTGCAGAGATCACTTCCTTCAATGTCAAGGTTATCTTGCTGTATCTTAGAGTATCTTTTAGACTCTCAAATATGGGAGGCAAAGACATCAACAGTATTATTGCTTGATCTTCATCCGAGACAGATACATCAGCATTCTCAAGATCAGCAATAATTCTCAAGAATTCATCCACGTTTCTTTCCAATGACATACTCGGATGCATCTTGAAACCAAATAGTTTCTGCTTAAGATGAATTCTACTAGTAAGAGACTTTGAGCTGTAAAGTTCGTCTAGTTGTTGCAACATACCAGCTGCGGTTTGTTCTTTTACAACCTTCCGGAGAACTGTATTCGTCAAGCACAGTACTATCGTACTCCGAGCTTTCTTCTGTTTTTCTTGGAGTGACTCTGCGTCTTCTTTTGAGTCCGAATCTTTTCCATCTCCATCTTTAACAGCTCCTTTTCCCTTTGATTGCGACGGATCCATGATGTGAGGCTTGTTTAGACAGAGAAGCTCAAGGTGAGCAATCAATCTTTCCCTCCACATCAGATAATCCCCGGATCCATCAAACTTCTCGACGTCGTGCTTCATCGATGACATCGTGCTTGATCCTCGAGCCTGGAACCTGGCTCTGATACCACTTGTTGAGAAACAACAGCTCCGATCACCTCTTCGACTGAGCTCCGATCTCAGCTCGACGACCAACACTCGAGCACGATTCAAACTATGAGTAAATTGCGGAAATGTAAAACGACACGAGATTTACGTGTTCGGCCTCCACCGCTAAAACAGCGGCAGCCTACTCACGCCGGGACCGCCTCCCAGAGAATCCACTATCACCGGAGAAAGATTACAGAGTATACACCGATTAAGCTCTCACTCTAATCGCACCTCTCTCTCACTAGGAATCGATTACAAAATTTTAATCTCTACTCACTCTCTCTCGCTTGACTAGTTACACAGCCAGAAAACAAACGCCGTTAGTCGTTAGCCGTTAGCCGTTAGCTCACTCTGCAACTTAACGGCCTAACGATCTTTGACCTTTGACTTTGAGATGGAGAAGAACAAACTCAACGACGCCGTTCTACTTCTGGGCCTTGACACCAAACGTGCAACAAGCAAGGCCCAATGACTTAAGTCCTTTTAAGCCCAACAACTCATAGCTATAACTTCGAGGAGGGGAAATCGAAGAATAAGATATCTCCTATAACAACAGAATCAAATTAATTCATTTGCAGAGATATGAATCTAATTTTTTTATTTTTTTTAGTTTAGATATTAACTTGTTGAAAATAACCTGAGATATAAAGATCTTCATAATCACAAAATCTAACATGGATGTATGTATTGTACATGTATGTGTTGTTGCCTGATTCCAAAATAATAATAATAAAAAAAAGAAAATTTCATAGAGACTCAAATTTTCTGTGGTTTCCAACTAAAAGTTTAAACTTTTTCGTTTTTCTACAAGACTACAACAACCGCTTCACTTATTCCAATATGTTTTGAACTTTTATTCGGAGGAAAAATAAGTTTTCAATTTCCATTTCGTAGGGATCTAGTAAGAATTGAAACGGTGTATAGAAATGGTAATAGTTTTGAAGAGAAATAGATTGTCACCCTATTAATTTTGATAAAGGGCTTGTTGTCAAAGCCGAAAAAGTTCATGGTTTTAGTTGGAAGTCGTAGAAAATAGAAATCGGTCTCTTTTCATGTAAAGAAAAAAAAAATTTAGATGATCCGTAATTAATTAATAATCTATTCTGTGTGCTTTCAAGCTTACCATTGATGATAAATATATTGCTTTTATGTAATACATGAACATGATCTGACAAACACGTTACACAATATTTAAACTCTGATCTAAAATCGAAACATTTCTCATTTCAATGGTTATTCGTCTCTTCAATCACAAATTATATATTGTTGCAGTTGATCAGCGACACATGCAGCCTGGCACCGTCGCTCGTGCATGCATGGTATATACTTTAAACCTTATTAATAACTTCAAACCGAATAATAAAAGAAATATTTAAAACTCTATATTATCATAGAATACCCAAACAAATCCACAATGTATCGTAACCCACGAGTGTCGTCTTACGTATATAGAAGGTTCCTCCAGACATATAAATCATTATTTTGATAATACCTCCAAAATGAGCTGTTCCCCAGATGTCCCACGTCCGTACAAAACCCCAAATTAAGGACCCTTCATCCTACTTTCCTTCAGATCCCTACTCTTCACTCTATATAATCTCCCTCTCACACACTCATTCAATATATCTCTAATCTTCGCTTAAAGCTCTTTATAAAAGCCCTAAAAACCAATTACGATTAGAACAAAAACTGCCTTTTCATATCATTTTTTCAGATTCTAAGCTAAAGATCTCGAAAAAGAATTAAGATCTATATGGATCAGATCAACTTCGAGGGTTTGCGGGAGCTACACGACTGCGCAAACTATCTCCTCGATCACTGTCCGAAAACAAGAGAATCTCTGTCTCAACAAGGACAAGAGAAATGGACCGAACAAGTCTCAGAAGCTTCGTTGAGAATGCTAGACATCTGTACCGTATCCAAAGATGTAATGACGCTCGTGAAACACAGCTTTCAAGATCTACAACTGACTCTACGTGGCAACGAATCATCAGATGTCAACGAGAAGATCGCTGCCTATAATCGATATAAGAACAATCTCAAGAAGGAGACGCTCAAGTGCTTAAACTGTTTAAAGAACATGAAAGGAAGCGGAGGAGGAGGAGGAAGAGTAGCGATGCCAACAGAACAAAACCTTCTGTTTGTTGCAGAGGTTTTGAAAGAAGTGAGAAGAGTCGTTGTGACAATGGTCGAGTCTTTGTTCTCGCTTGGTTGTATTCCTTGGCTAGAGAAGAGATCAAGCAAAGGATCATTGTCTTCGATCTTTACAACTAGGTCTTCTTCTTCCTATTGGTTAGATGAAGTATGGGACGAGACCGCTGTGCAGAGCGCGACGACGAGGTTGGAGGCAGCGGAGATTGCTGTTGAGGAGCTCGAAATAGAGTTGGAGTCTACTTTCCGGCGATTGATTCACACACGAGTTTCACTTCTTAATATTCTTACCAGCTAGCTTTATACACATGTCCGCTTAGGTTACTTAACATATTAATTTTTTTGATTTCTAAACATTATGCCCCATGAGCCATTTAATTTCTTTGTTACTTTGAATAAAAATATACACTATTCTCAAGTTGATATATTGTTATTTACATAAAGCTGTCGAAAAGATATTGTTATATTACATAGATTTTGTGACTCCTTGAGTCCTTGTAGATTTTTATCATTCTTTTTTTTTTAATTTTGTTAGACTAGACATGTTATCATTCTTTTTGCTACCTATGGCTGTGTAAAACTGATCAAATTAACTGGAACAATCGGTTTTGCATAGATTATGGTTTTCTGAAAACTCAAAAATTCAGATTTATGTACCGTCAATAAAATATTTTCAGCCTGAAAATGATAAAAATTGGGAGTTTGAAACCATTAACTATAATTTTCAATTCCTTAATATATAAGTAATTATTAGTAATATTTCTTTGTGACGCGCATACTTGGAACTAACACCACGAGTCTCGCAATGGATGTTATTTCAAATTCATTTGTAGACAGAAACAACAATATTATCAGCAAGAAGAACAAACGAAGTAGCAGCTAAAAAACAGCAGTAGCAAGCTTACAGAGTTGTATACAAAAACAATTTCACGACTTCTTCACAGTTCTCTTTATTTCGAAATATGAAGCTGAAAATAAAAGAGAGACGATCCATTTTTCGTCATGATCTTCAAAGGTTCGATGAGACCTAGCAGCAAAACCCAAAATCAGATTAGTCTCAAGCAATATCTAGACTACAGAGTTCCAGAAAGTTGAATCCAAGAATAATAATAATCTTCTAGCTAACGATGTGTCTCAACAAAAAGAAAACTCGAAACATTTGCCACATCAATTTTGTTACAAAGTTTCAAGATAATTTCAAGATAATTGTCATTATCTTCCAAGAGGATTAGTGATTCGTTATAGAGAACCTAATCAAGAACAAACTAAGTTAGGATCAACGCTATGAACTCTCTTCAAACTAACTACAAGAGTTCTTGCTAGCGAGTGACAACATTAGGCATGAACTTTCACTAAGGAACTGCTGCCTAATTACTTAGTAGTTATATACAACCCATAACGTGCGTTTAATAAGAAAATGGAAATTTTTTTCCTATCTTTATAAATAAGCGAACTGCTTTTAAATAAAACGTTAAATGGTTCCATTAAAAGTGCTAATACAGACATTACCTAGTGATGATCCCCGTGACCATGATCACCATGGCCATCCCACGGATGCCTCCATCCCTAGCAATTGCCAAATAGCAAGATCACATTTAGCCACCATCAAAGGAGTAGAAATGAAACAATTATAGAAAATTTACAAAGAGTGAAATAAAGATAAAGGAAAGAGATTTCTTACCATCACTACAGGACCATCTTGCTTTGCTCTGTACAGAATCCAGAACCTGATAATATCGAACATTGAAAAATGTGAATCCTAGGGGATATAAAAAATATTTTTGGTGATTGGTTCTTCAATCATTTTTCGTCGAGATGAAATTGACATTAGTTCCCTCCGGAAACATAATCCAATTCAAATCAACATCTACCTGATTGCCTCTGATCCTAACTTTGACATATCCATTCTCTCCAATTTTAATTCACAAACCGAAACAGATTTCTAAATACAGATTCGTCGGATCAATTAACCGATAATCCCATGGTGAGATCTAGCTTGGATCGAGATTCGAATAGAAAACAAATATCAAAGCTCAGTTCCAAAAGCGAAAGCGAGGAGGGGTGAGAGAAATGTACCACATAACGGCGCACAAGCCCTTTCCGGTGACGGTGTGCCACGTCTTGGGAGTGTGCACAGTGACTCCCTTGTAAGTTATACCTCCGCCATGTCCTCCGCCCATTCTCTCGAAACCCTAGATTCCGGCTTCGCACTCCAATTTCAGACAGAAAAGCTTTGACAATCTCACCTGAGATTCGATTCGAGCCAAGCATGTGACTCGTGTGACTTTCGCATAAATTAGCTTCCAGCAAGGCCTCATCTAAATGGCCTAGGCCCAATTAACATACAAAAAGCCCACATCTACAAAATTTCCTAAGTAAACTGCTAATTTCTTACACCTTGTTTTACTTTGTTTTGATCTTATCAAATAAAATCACTGTTTTATAAGGGCTCATTGTAGACCACGTCTCATTAGCTGGTGATCTGAGTGAAGGCGTGAAGCAAATATGTATAGCATAGCTAAGCTATTGTATTAATAGATCCTAACAATACATGGAGTGCGATCATAACAATACATGGAGTGCAAAGGGGAGATATAGCGTTGGTGACAGAAACATGTGAGCATTTCTAGCAATTAGCTTGCTACTTTTTTACTTTATAAATCTTCTCCCTTTCACTTTAATGAGTATTCTTTGTTTTCTCTTTTCTAGTCACATGAAAATCCTGCAAACCATTCTTTCAAAACTGATCAGGTCAGGTCTATTCTTCTATGGACAGAGCGATGCGTCCCAGCGTGAGTCTGATGCATATGGATCCGATTTCATTCCAGGGAATAGCTGGATTTGGTGCGTGAGGAGATAAAAAGTGTGCAAATGCTCCGTGGTTCGGTCTTTACATAGAGAGAGGAAGAAGCATCCTTCGTTTTTTCTTCCTGGCTAGTCTCACTTGCTTTGTGATTTTCATACAGACAAGCAATAGTAAGCTGACACAAACCAGGATGAATGCGAGTTCCAACCGCCTGAAGTACAAGGATACTGCTGAAAACACCAGGAATGCTAAGATCACTAGTTCCCATATGACAAATACTACCACATCGACCCTGCATTAAATCAAAACGAAACGATAAGCATAAGTACAGCGGTAAAATGTTCATGACATCTTCATTGTCAAGCTACAACAATAGAATCAAGATGGCAATGGACTTTATATTCAAATGTGACATCGAAAGCACATGTATGTCGACTTTGTATTCATAAAAAGAAGAGCGAAGAAAGACAACGGATATGTATTTATGAATCAAAAAAATTCTACAAGCACAAACTGTCTAGTTCGTGTCATGAAATTAGTTTAGATATGAAGCACAACCATGGTTTGCATCTAAACAACAATGTTCTCTCGTGGAATTGCTTCTATTTTCCATTGAGTATAGGCTAATACAGAAGTGGGTTATCGAGGCTGAGGCCTGTAGAACTACACCATCAACTCTATAATCTAAAGAATAATAAGCTCAAAGTTATTGTTAAAGTCACGGAGCAACTAGCTTGACATACGAACTTCTTCATCTATAGATGATGAAATGAAACCCTCAAGCTGGAAAGGAAAATTCAAACACACATATATGCTGAGACAAGAAAATCAAATCAGAAACTCTGGGGTAAGATGGAAACTATCTGTGTCACTCGATTTTAGGAATTTGTTTCGGACATTGGAGGACAAGTCCATCCATTGACAGATCAAGATATGAAAATTCCAGTTCTCAGTGAAAATGAAGGTACAACGAGGATCGATATCCAGATCACTTGTAATCAAAATCATATTTCCTTTATGAAGATTTGACATAGAAATGTAACCTAGACACGCTCATGTTGGATGATCGATGAGAACTTTAAGATTTCAATAGAATTGAATATTATAAGAATTCAATGCGATAAAATCTAATGCCCCTGAGACGAACATAACACTCTGCAAGCAGCTCCGGAACACAGCAGAAAAACAGAAAAGCACAAGCTACAGATCTCAAATCCTGAAGAAATAGTTATCTAACCTGGAGGAAGAGAAATTCGAGGTGGAAGAGAAGAAAGAAACGGAGGCCCAATCATGCTTTGATCTAATCTGATATTCCCTGAGCTGTTCCGCTAGATTCGATCTCGTTATCATCGCCACCAAATCCCTTCTTTCTCGACCCCACTCTCTCCCAGATCGACGGGAAGCTCAAGGAGCGTCGGAGAAATACCAGATGCAGGGAAAATCTGTCAAAAAAACTTGTAGCTAGAATCTAGAAATCCAACAACGGAATAATATCTGCGAGAGGGAAATTATACGTGTTAAAATTCTCAGCGACGAAACGATCATCGATCGTTGGGTTTCGGCGATCGTTGGCGTGGACTCTCTCTCTCTCTCTACCTCCCCATGTCAATAATCAGCGGGTCGGGTTATAGATCCGAAACCATACTCAGAGGCCCATGTTATAAGATATTTTTGGGCCCTTTGAAGGTAATCGCTAAGGCTCTGCTTATTTTTGGGCCCTTTTTTCCGACGGTAGATTTAATGATAAAAATAAAATGTAACTTAAAATAATTATTATAGTAATGCATTTTATTGTTCTCGTGTCCCACCATATAAAGCGAGTGTCAAATATCGTTGAATATTCCCGATTTGACAAACACTTAAAGCAAATATCACGTCCACAAAACGCAGACAGCGGTGAAAAGCAAATATAGACAGAGAAGATCAGAACAAATGAATTATCCAATTTATTAAGCACTTACCACTTTTTAATTTTATTCGGTAATTTGGAACTTATTATATAAAATTTTCAAATCTACACCAATTCCTCTTAAAGCTATATATGTATTTAACTAAAGATATGTTACCAGATAAGTATATGTATTAATGTATTATCAAGATAATGTCGGCTACAGGTTGTCGTTTTGCTATCACCGAAAAACACAATTCAAAGTATAAGGACAAAAAAATTAGACGACCAAGTAAGAATTGAAAAAGATTGGTTTGTTTGATATGTGTGTTGGGATGTCATGGTTCGTGTTACGTCTCGATTAAAAATTGAGACGAGACTTCGAATGATGTGGCACAATCTTTAATGGAACACGGTTCGTTGTTTTAAGAGATGATGCATTCCCGATCAACATCTGTCCTTTTAAAATATTTTAACTTTGTTTCTCTAATAGGTCGAAAATGACATCCCCCACACATTAACACATTTCATTATCTCTAGAATCCAAGTAATCATATATTCATATGCTTATTTGCTGATTCCATTATCGCATCTAAGTTTTATCTTTAGAAAATGTATTTAAACATATCCGTTTTCGTGGATAAAATACACAACCTTTTTCATTTAAGTTGTTCTACACGTAGTGTGTGTAATCTTGTTTTGAAGTAAATATATATATTGTTTATCTATAATTTTTGATTTTTTTTTACTGAATTTTATTTTCTCCTTAAACGTTTCCATGTTCATGTATTTACAATTTGCTTACAATTTCAATGATCATTTTTTTTGTAAAAGTAAAATATTTTGAATGATCATGCCACACTTGGACAGGCCATAACTCCGAATCGTTGTTGATTCCTATTTCCTAGCGTTGTAATGTAACGCTTATAGGGAAAACCTAAAAAGAGTAACGATATAAGTTATAACACGTTACGAACTTCATCATTTTTTTCTTAAAAAAAGGTTTTTCCAACGTGGCACTAGTCAATAAGTCAAGTGGACCCACATCACCGACATCACGTCTTTAACGCCAATCAGTACACGTTTTTGGGTCCTACGCTAGGACAAACTCTCACGTTATACAGCCACGTGTCAACGTGTGATTGCATAATATGACTTTTCTCTCTGTCTCACATTGTTTTTGTCTACCTCTCCGTCTTTCCATTTTCTGAACGTTAGCTTGCCGCTACTAATGTTCGCCGTCCGATTTATACTAATGCTTGACACTTGTCTTCCCATCTATGGTGAGTTATATTGTTTTTTATTAGTCTCTCTTTTCTCTTTTCTCTCTTTTCATCCCTATATTTTTAATTTTCTATAAAGGAAACCCTAAACTTTCGAAGATTATAAATTATTAGGATATCCCCCTTCTTTTAAATCTCTTTTGCTATTTCCATAGATTTTAAAATTATTTAATATCTGAATTTGATAATTATGAAATTCAAAAATAGTAAAAGACTAGTTTAATCTGTTATGTCCGAACCAATTAGTTCTCAATTTAGTTTTTAATTTTGGCAACCATATCTACTTACCATTCTTATCCAATATTCTTTTTGTTACTTTTGATTATCCGCCAAAATTATTTAATATAGAATGGACTCCGATCACGTAAGCAAACTTTGATGATTAGTAAATGAATTATTCTTAATACATTTATAACCTTATCTAATTAAAAAAAAATAGAGGGAAGAATGTTAATAACGTGCAGACGAAGAGAAGAGTCCATAAAAAGGAAAATAAAAAGTGGGACCATTTTGCAATTTATCTATAATTTTAAAATTGAAAGGAGAGAAAAAAAAAGAGAGATCATAGAGCGTGAAATCCGCGTTGGATTGGACCCCTCTATAGTCCTCACACTATAAAACGCACTTTCTCTCATATCACATTTTCTCATCGTCTCTTAAAAATCATCTTCATTCTCATTGTCTTTTGAATTTGAAGCTCTCAAGATATACTTTGATCCCTGTTTCGATTATTTTTTATTTGCGAGTCTTTTCTGGATAACTATGGCGGAGGAAACCAAGAACGTTCATGAGCAAGAGGTCCCAAGGGTAGCGACAGAGGAATCGCCGGCGGCGACGGCAGAGGTTACGGATCGTGGACTATTCGATTTCTTGGGGAAGAAGAAGGAGGAAACAAAACCAGAGGGGACAATCGACTCAGAGTTTGAGCAAAAGGTTCAGATTTCGGAGCCGGCGCCGGAGGTTAAACACGAGGAAGAAGAGAAGAAGCCGAGTCTCTTGGAGAAGCTTCACCGAAGTGACAGCTCTTCTAGCTCCGTAAGTTTATATTTATGTATATCTTTTGCGTTAACGTAAGTTAGAAGTTAGATCGGATCTGTTGATGATTATTTTCACCAGATAGAATGATTTATCTAATTATACGGATTCGAATTTTTGACAGTCAAGCGAGGAAGAAGGTGAAGATGGTGAGAAGAGGAAGAAGAAGAAGAAGGATAAGAAGAAGACTACTACTACTACTACTGCTGAAGGAGAGGTGAAAACAGAGGAGGAGAAAAAAGGGTTTATGGAGAAGCTGAAGGAGAAGCTTCCAGGACACGGAAAGAAGCCTGAAGATGCCTCAGCCGCCGCCCCCGCCGCACCTGTTGTTGTTCCTCCGGTGGAGGAAGCGCATCCGGCGGAGAAGAAGGGGATTTTGGAGAAGATTAAGGAGAAGCTTCCAGGATACCATCCCAAGACCGTAGAGGAGGAGAAGAAGGAAAAGGAATCTGGTTAAGACGAAGAAAAAGCGGATGATCATTATTAATATGAATAATGATGATGGGAGATTTGCTTTGTTTTTGTGATGAATGATGATCATCTTTTGCTTTTGTGCTGTGAAAGTTTGTTGGCTTTTCTTTTTTTTTTTGTTGGTTACAGTTTTTCTGTTTCTCTCTTTGTGATGTTTGTATATGATTTGAAGGTATTTTAATGGTATGGATATTTTCATTTCAGAATATTTGGATCATTTGTTTTCTGGATTCGTGCTGAATAATATTTGAGTTTCGTTAGGACAATGATCTAACTCCATGTTTATAATCTTCAATTATTGCTCTTAACCCTACACATGACCCCAGTCTGATTAGCAAGGTTTCATATTTATGGAATTAAATGCTTTGGTATAAAAGAAAGATTCGTCACGATCATGACTCGTAGTGGTTGATTTGATTGTCGACGTAGTACTGAAAACGTATAAAGTAAATGAACTAAGATATTTTTATAAATCAACTTACATATTGTATACTCTGCTTGTTTTATAATAAAGAACAAATGAGATCCCATCAAATGGTATAAGCTGCTAGTTAACTTACGAATCATGGTGATCTTAAACGGTGTGCGGACAAGCAGACCGACACTGCCGGACACGGGTTAGCTGCTACATACTTCTAAAGTCTTGTAATTGGGTTTTGATAATGAGTCAAAACCCAATAGGCCATATTACTCACTAAGGAATCAGGCAAAAATCAAATAAAGGAAAAACGCCGTCGTTCTGGGCATATGTCTCCGAGCTAGGTTGTTTCGAGGAGCAAATCACCGCCGACTAGTAAATCCGGAGAATCACTCACCGGTAAGATGGAGGCAGGTGAAGCGAAAAGCAAGAAAGCAGGAGGGCCTCGTCTCTGCTGCATCTGTAACCAGAGACGACCCGTCCTCAAGCGACCTAAAACCCTTCAACAGGTAATTTTTTCTTCAATCTCACACCTCTCCTGTATTTTGCCAAAGAAAATTCGATGGATTCCCAATTTCTTGCTAGTTGCTATCGCCATCGATTTCTGTATGAGAAATGATGTGAGTATTGTGTTTAAAGATATGCAGAGAGTGCTTTTATGAGGTTTTCGAGGAGGAGATTCACCAAGTCATTGTCGTGAACCGGTTATTCAAGTCCGGTGAGCGTGTTGCTATTGGTGCCTCTGGTGGAAAAGGTAAATTCTTTTACTCCAATGGTTTCTGATTCAACCCTTTGAACGTTCTCTGTTTTAGTTTGATGTTTTTGCGTCATATTTTTTCTTCAATAATTGTTAGAACACCAAAACTGTTTGTAAAAGAATGGAGATTGTTCTGTCAGTTAGTAGAAAGTGGATAAAGCGCATAGATCTTCCTTGTTAGATCATTAACTGAGAAGCTGGTGCTGGTGCAGATTCGACGGTGCTGGCATATGTATTATCAGAGCTAAACAGACGTCATAGTTACGGGCTAGACCTTTTTCTTTTGTCCATTGATGAAGGGATAACTGGTTATCGTGATGATTCTCTTGAGACCGTTAAAAGGAACGAACTCCAAGTAAGGTTTTTTTTTTTGTTTAATGTTCATGACAACCATGCCAACATAAATAGCAGAGTCTTAAGAAGATCAAATATGTCGGCTTGTCATTTTAAGATATTTACTCTTTTTTCTTCCCCAGTATGGATTGCCTCTTCAGATTCTTTCTTACAAAGATCTGTATGGATGGACAATGGACGAGATTGTGAAGATGATTGGTCTGAAGAACAATTGCACCTTTTGTGGTGTATTCCGTCGACAGGTGAGAGGAGCAGGTTTCTTCTTAGCATGATCAAATCATCTTCTGTTTTGTGATTTCATGTCTGATTGATTTCTTGAAGGCACTTGATCGAGGAGCTGCATTATTGAAAGTGGATAAGCTTGTCACTGGACATAACGCAGATGATATAGCGGAAACAGTTCTCTTAAACATTCTGCGAGGGGATATTGCTAGGTAATTATATTTGTTTCTGGTGATGCCTTTCTTGGCTACAATATGTCTCTCAATTGATGGATTTGTAACTCGGCTATTGTAGATTGAGTCGGTGCACATCAATCACTACAGGAGAAGATGGTCCGATTCCAAGATGTAAACCTTTCAAATATACATATGAGAAGGAGATTGTCATATATCCTTTGCTATTAAATCCTTTGTTTTGCTTTCTGAATCTGCTTTTAACTTGTCAACATAAGAAATTGTGAGATCTTAACATAGCTACACGTATGCTTATTTCAAGAAGCTGGATTACTTCTCCACCGAATGTAAGTTGTGTTTTTTCAAAGTTTTTGATAAGGCCTTTTTTTTCTGTTCTGAAGTATCACTTGAATAACTCTAGCTAAATAGGTTTCTAAGTTCTTGCTTAAATCAACTGTTCACTAGGAACTGAATGCATAATCGGTCATATTGATTCGAGTTGATTTCACTTATTGTGATTGCAGGCATATACTCTCCTAATGCTTATCGTGGGTTCGCACGTGAGTTCATCAAAGACTTGGAGAGACTAAGGTTCTTGTTCAAGTTTTACTGTTTATATTCGCCACGACCAAATAAGCAAGTAAATCTCAAACTTGTATTTTTTATACACTACAGGCCAAGGGCTATTCTGGATATCATCAAATCCGGTGAAGACTTCAGAATTGCGACAACCACAAAAATGCCTGAGCAAGGGACATGTGAGCGATGCGGGTATATTTCTAGCCAGGTGAGACTTTACAAAACAAACACCTTCTCTCTATCAGATCAAGTCATTCTATTTATTTGAACTAACGAGAGGCGTAAATGAGTCATGCGTTGGAGTTAATATAATGTGCTTTCTTGTATGAATATCTTATACGATGAGTGAATGATGCAGAAATGGTGCAAAGCTTGTGTTTTGTTGGAAGGATTGAACCGTGGTTTGCCTAAGATGGGCATTGGAAGAGCTCGAGGAGGCATAAATGGTGATCATACGAGGGAAACAAAGGCTGGATCTAAATCTATTGAGACCAAACAATGTGGATCTCTGGATTTCTAGATTAAGAAGACGAATATGCTGTAACAACGCAGAAAACTGTTTCTGTATAGAAACTGTTCAAAACCCATTGTTGTACACCGTATTCTCTTGGAGGATTTGGTTTGCCTTGTAATAAATACTTTGCTAATTGTATTTCAACGCATAGTAATCTCGTATTGCTCTGAAGGCATAATAATAATCTCCATAGTCTAAGAGGCAGAGTGTTCGACGAAATGCCTCTGTGGCACATAGTTTTTTGCAGCTGTTTTATCTGACTTTTTATCCTGAATTAAATCAGTAAATTTGTTTTGCCGGAAAAAAAAATATCTCTCTCGAGTCTTGAGCCTAATTAGTGATTTTTCTTTAACCACCAGATTTACTCCATTAAAATGAGGTCCACTGCTAAGTGCTAGCCTAACTCATTTCAATTCAGCCTTGTTTGAGGAGTTAGTTGACAATTGTGCAACAAATATTGTTCCACCTAAATCATCTAATTTGTATCAAAAACTGTTTTTTTTTTCTTTTCAGCAAAGAGACAAACTAGATACTTCACCTTCCATGTCATGAAATTGTCGTTTTGTTTAACCTTAATCTAACTACTTGTGAATCTTATATGGTAAATGTGCCATAATAATGAACGTAGTCGAATTACTATTTCAGTCGTACTGCGTTGTACAAGTTATTTGCAAAATTAACCTGTTCAGATTTTACTGCCACGGCACAGATAGTTGTACTTGTACGCAGCAATCTACTTCCTCATTTTTGGTTTGTAACTGAGACCAAATCCAAAGAAGGTTCTATGAAATAAGAACAAATGATTTAACATACAAACAAAAAAAAAGTCGGAACTCAGAACTAATGAAACTCATTGTAGGATGTCGTTTTGATTCGAACTACTGTATTATGGAGTCACCTAATCCATGTTACTTACTACATTTACAGTCACTGTAATGTTACAGACATTAACGCGTTTTGTATCATTTTGGTATTTTTATTTTTCTCTTTCGCTTTTTTTGTTGGTATTATTCTGATCTTTATAAAGTGTTGTCATTTATACAGGCCTATCAAGATCAACTTTCTTTGTTGGTATTATATTTTTTTGCTGCTATTAGGCCCCACGGCTCTTTCAAATTGCTCTGACGCGTCGCTTCCTAACCCAATGATAATTTTCTCGTAGCAAATCTCTATTTGTATTTAGTAATGTAATTTGTTCTTTATTATTCACTTTACCTTAATTTTTGGAGAGTTAATTTGATTAAAAAGTGCTAATGGCTCACAGGTAAGAAAAGTATGAGTAGTTATTGGCGATAAAACCGGAAATGTAAACGCATGTCAGATTAATGTTTTACTTTTTGATAAGTACACGTAAAGTTTTTCCTTTCGATTACTTTTGGACCCTTATTCAATTTTTGTTTTCACCATCTGAGTCTAGATTCACTCAAATCCAAAAATTGAGAATAACCAGTGAAGAAAAAGCTTCTGTACTCCAGAAACACCAAGTTAGAGAAAATGAATTAACCTACGAAACGCCAAACAAATTTGATATTGTAGCCAGGAATGGGCCCTTCTTCATCTCCGATCAGCTTTCAAGGACATAAAAACATTACACAACCGAAAAAGTGATAAAAAACGATATTATTCCATATTCGAATAATAAAGGGAGGCATATAAATTACTTTCGATGGCTCCCTATCTATTTTTTTTTTTTTTTTTTTTCTGTGTTATCTTCGTTTCGAAGTTTTATGTTTACACTCTTTCGTATTTGTTTAATTGTAAATTATTGCACTAGGATGTTTGTTTAATATGGTTCTGTAAAAACACATGAGACATTTAACTAAAAACGTCAAATTCAGAAAACTCCAACTCCAGTTATACAAAATTTACAAACCAAGTTGAGTGAAATATTTTAGTGTTTTACACAATCCATATTATTACTTTACCATATATTTATCAAAAAATGCCCATAGTCATAATAGTACAATTTTTTTTTTCGTGTAAGAGGTGTATAAAGTGAAATCTTACAAGACGAAAAAAATGCGTGTTATAAATTGATAATTACGACAGATTTTCCCTCTAAAACAGGCAAAAGTTAATTAAAACTAGCGAGTGAAAAGAACAAAAGTCCAACAAATTGTTATAATCTTAATAGCGTCAGCAATATAGGAAACTACATCAATCTGTAATAAATCCATCACCCAAAGGTTACCACAAATAGTCTAATTATTGTTAATCCATCACACAAAGATTACCACAACTAATCGTTTGTCCTAATAATTATAGAGCACAAAACATATAAAAATGGCCAAGTTGCTTAGCCATGTGGATTGTGGGAGACAAATACAGATTTCAAAGTAATACAGAGTCGCGTGTGGGTCCAGCCACCGACACTGACCTTTGTTTTCTTCTCTCTGATTCGTTTCCTCTTACTGTAAACTCTTTTAAATACGTGCAGTATCATCTCTCCATAACTCTAGTCTCAAATCTGTGTGTTTGAGAGAGAGAGAGATCACGCCAATATACTTTTCTTCATTCACCGGTTTCCAAAAATGGCGGCCAATGTCTCATTCGCCGCCGCATTAATCATTGGCTTTTCGCTTCTCTTCGCTGTCACGGCGGAAGATCCGTACAGATTCTTCGAATGGAACGTCACATACGGAGATATCTACCCACTCGGCGTTCGCCAACAGGTATCTAAATCTCCTCGTATCAGTTAATTTTTAATATCGGTTCGGTTTTAAATATCTACGGATCTTGCATTTTCCGGTTTAGGGTATTCTGATCAACGGGCAGTTTCCGGGACCGGACATTCACTCCGTTACAAATGACAATCTCATCATTAACGTCTACAATAGCCTCGACGAACCTTTCCTCCTTTCATGGTAATTTTTATTTATTCATCTGACTCGAAATTTAAATCAGTTGCAAATCCGCATTAACAATGTAATTTTTAGTTTAATTCAGTATTTGGGTCTTTAACATTGAATTCCGTCGTTGTCAGTTGATAATAGTTGTTAGACCTAGTCGGCTAGTATTTTTTTTCATTTGACCTGTGAATAGTAATATTTTGCATTTTTTAGTAGTGACGTAAAAATAAAACGTGCTTCAAAAAACCACTGAGGTACGTAAGGATATTTTTGGCCACACCTTATGTCGGACTCAGTCCACGAAACAATTATTCATAAGCACATTATTCAATACTAATTTTCTGATTTTAATGTATGCATGGTGATTGACGAACAGTGACTACACATTTTAAAACATTTACATGTGGGAAATGGGTCCACTTTTTTACCAAATTATTAGCTGTATCCTCCCTTTAATTTTTAAACTTTATTTCCGCGGTTGCACTTGCATTCCTTTTCAGGGGGTAAAATTAACAGTTCAAAGAACTTTTGGGGGTAAATATTAATATTTTAAAAATAATGTGACGGATGAGCAAATGCAGGAATGGGATTCAGCAGAGGAGGAATTCGTTCGTGGACGGAGTGTACGGGACGACATGCCCAATCCCGCCGGGGAAGAACTACACTTACATTCTTCAGGTGAAGGATCAGATCGGAAGTTTCTACTACTTCCCTTCTCTCGCTTTCCACAAAGCCGCCGGAGGATTTGGAGGCATCCGTATCCTCAGCCGCCCCAGGATCCCCGTCCCTTTCCCAGATCCCGCCGGAGATTACACCGTCCTCATCGGCGACTGGTACAAATCCAATCACACGGTAAGGATCCATTGCTTTTGATGCTCGATTGTCGTTGAATTTCGCCAGATTCAATCGCTTGTTTTCTGATTGTGCAATCTCGTTTCTGTAGGATTTGAAGGCACAATTGGATAGTGGTAGGAAGCTTCCTTTACCAGATGGTATCCTCATCAATGGCCGTGGAAGTGGTGCCACTCTCAATGTTGAACAAGGTTTCTACCACTTTCTGCTTATTTCATTCTACTAATGAAGTTTTTTTCTGATATAGCTTATAATCTGAGTTCTTCATCCTCTTCTTCCTCAGGCAAGACATACAGGCTGAGAATATCCAATGTAGGGTTACAAGACTCGCTCAACTTCCGCATCCAAAACCACAAGATGAAGGTGGTCGAAGTCGAAGGGATTCACACTCTTCAGACTACCTTCTCTTCGCTAGATGTTCACGTTGGCCAGTCTTACTCGGTGCTTATAACTGCGGACCAGCCTCCTCGGGATTACTACGTGGTTGTCTCTTCTCGGTTTACCTCAGCTGTGTTAACCACCACAGGTGTTCTCCGTTACAGTAATTCCGCTGGTGGCGTTTCTGGACCTATTCCAGGTGGCCCAACCATACAGATCGACTGGTCCTTGAACCAGGCTCGAGCCATCAGGTATCTTGTTTTTTTCCTCTTTGATTCAGTAATGTGCTTACATTCTGGAGTAGAAGTTTGGTTCTTGGCTTTGATCTGATTTTGTTATGTTCTTGTCTTGTAGGACTAACCTTACAGCGAGCGGACCAAGGCCGAATCCACAGGGATCATACCATTACGGTATGATAAACACCACAAGAACGATAAGGCTTGCTAGCTCTGCTGGTCAGGTCAATGGGAAGCAACGATACGCTGTGAACAGTGTATCATTTAACCCAGCAGACACTCCTCTGAAACTCGCGGACTACTTCAAGATTGACGGTGTTTACAGAGTTGGTAGCATACAGAGCCAACCTACTGGTGGAGGAATATACCTCGACACATCTGTTTTGCAAGTTGACTACAGATCCTTTGTGGAGATTGTTTTCGAAAACTCTGAGGATATTGTCCAGAGCTGGCATCTTGATGGTTACTCTTTCTGGGTTGTTGGGTAAGTGTGTCTTTCTTTTATTTCCTGAAACCTCAAACATTCATGTTTTTGCATCCACAATATCCACACATAGTAAGCACACAATAGTAACATTCTGTGACCAAGGAAGATCCCTAGAGAAGCCTAGAAATCATAATCCTTTTGTCATCGTTCTTTGATTGATAAAAAGGGAGAGTTTTGAGAATTTCTTGATCTTGATTGCTGGATTAAAGTGGTCTTCTGATACAGAATGGACGGTGGGCAATGGAGTCCTGACAGTAGGAACGGGTACAATCTACGGGATGCAGTCGCTCGCTGCACCGTTCAGGTAACCACAGCAAAAAATCTAAAGACTTTTTTTAGCATTTGTGAACCGCTGGATTAAACTAATATTCATGTACAGGTATATCCAAGCTCATGGACGGCCATATACATAGCACTGGACAACGTAGGGATGTGGAACATAAGATCCGAGTTCTGGGCAAGGCAATACTTAGGACAACAGTTGTATTTACGAGTCTACACAACCTCGACTTCTCTCAGAGATGAATATCCAATCCCCAAGAACGCTCTTCTCTGCGGTAGGGCTAGCGGTCGTCGCACCAGACCGCTTTGAGTGGTTGCTAAATAGAGAGAGATATGAGAGAATGGTCAGCCAAACCAGCTGACGCGTTCTCAAGGGTTTTTCTTGTTTGATTCATTCTCTTCATTTTGCAAATGAGTGCAAGAGCTATGGTAAAATCGGTATATCAGTTTCTTAACGATCTCAGCTCGAGGTCTCAATTTTTATTCTTTCTTTCTTTTTTAATCTCTGGAGAGATAACCTTATTCGATATAATTATATAGCTCCATCGTAAACCTTATTGACATTCTGTTTGCTATGATATGAATCTTCAGTTGACAATTCAAAACACATCTTTTTAGTGACAAATACTGCGTATCGAATGTGCTGGTTCTGCCTACCTCGTTAAGCTAAATCACTAATCACCGCAGATAATTAACAAGTGCATGTGTATGGAAGGAAGAAACAAAAATTAAATCTTCTAATGACTAAGTACTAACTAGTGATTTCGAACGAAAATACATAATCCGATCCTTTTTTTTTCTTCTTTGCTTTGTCTTAACCCGAGGGTTCGGGAAAGTTTTGCTTTGGACAATGCATAGCGCAATCGATGTCTGCAGTCTTGGGTTTGACAACAATAAAAATAATCATACTCCCTCCGTGTTTTACAGTCGTTTTAAAGTTTTATTTTTGTTTCACAAAAAATTTTGTTTTATATTTTCAATGCAAAATTTTAAACAATATTTCAGTTTTAACCTTATTAATTTAATATATTTACTAGATAAAAAGAAATCATTTAATATATTTATAAGGGATAAAGTTATACTTTTAATAATTTTTTTAATATGTGTGAAAAATGTCTCTTTGTAAAACAGAGAGAGTATAAAATAAACCTAACTATTGATTGATATTCATTAAATTTACTCTATTAAAAAAAAAATTTACTCTATAAAATAATCAAATAATCTTATCTTGGGCATAGGCATTGGGATTTGAATTTCCTGTAATTGCAGAAAGCGACATTACATATTTACAGCAAACGTCTGATCTAAAACATTGAACACTGAAGAGGGAAATCAGCAGCAGGACACGGAAGCTAAACTCTGATCCTGATCGGAGATGGCGACTAGGGATTCTGTATTCAATCCTGATCTAGTTCTCGCTCACAAGCTTCCCGAGGTGTGTTTTCGTTTTACATCCTTATTGATCCGACCAGACCTTCCGTCATCGAGACGGAGCTTGTCTGTAATCCCACCTTCTTTTTTTGATCGCGGTTTTTTTTTGTCTGGTTTTGCTCGCAGACGCGTTACACCTACAACGAAAGGTTTGCGTCTTCTCTCTGTGTTCTTATGTGTATATGTGTAAATGGATTTTGTTTTTGCATCTTCGGGATTGGCGATGGATGATGGAGAAAACGATTGTAAATCAAGGAAGTTCAGGGGAATTATATATTTGCCTTGAGAAATTAAGAAACAGATTTATGAAGAAGTTGATTAATTACTTGTGTAAATAGAGATGTAGCAATCTATGCTTTGGGAGTTGGCGCTTGTGGCCAAGATGCTGTTGATTCGGATGAGCTCAAGTATGTATATCACCAAAATGGACAGGAATTTGTCCAGGTATCTTAACGATTGGTCTGGATTTAGTGGTGATGTCTTTTATGTCTTTTTTTTTTTTTGGAGAGTAATTCGATGTTAAATATAGGTTCTACCAACTTTTGCTTCACTATTGTCACTTGGATCTCTGACAAAAGGACTGGGTTTGCCAGGTTTTAAGTAAGCACATTAAATCTGTCTTGTGTTTATTGAGGTTTTGCATCATCATTTAAGTCATAGAGGATGTGAAAAAAGAATGAAACCGACATGATGATGGTGTTGTATCTTGCTGCAGATATGATCCTAGTCTACTGTTGCATGGACAGCAGTACATAGAAGTATACAGGCCATTACCTTCCAAGGCATCTGTAAGTATATATAACATAAATGTCTAGTAGAGATAAGTTCTGTGGTGCTTCCCCTTCTTTAGGATTTGGTAGTTTGATTTGCTCTCGAAATTGTACCCTTGTATTAGATCCTGCTTCTTCTATATCCAGAGTGGCCTTTGCTTCATTTTTTCTGAATTGATTTTGTTTGTGTTGACGCAGTTAGTTAACAAAGTTACCCTAGCTGGACTGCAGGATAAAGGTAATTGTCGCTACTGTTTTGTTTGTTCTTTTTTTGTGTGACACATTTACTAGCACTAACTCAAGAGGAAGTGCACTAATTTGGTCTTTTTGTGTTACATTTTACATTGAGCATTGAGCATTGAGCATTGACAATGGTAGATTCAAGGCATTTTAGGTTGATCTTTTTATTCTCTCTGTCATGGCAATCTTTCAGGTAAAGCAGCTATCCTTGAAATAGAAACCAGAAGTTACGAGCAAGGTTCAGAGGAACTTTTATGCATGAATAGGTAAAATGTTTCTGGAAGTAGTTAATCTGGGAGGTTTAGCTTGGAAACTTGTGAACTAATATGGGACTTGCTCTGCAGGACGACTGTGTTCTTACGAGGAGCTGGTGGTTTCTCAAATTCATCTCAACCATTTTCCTACAAAAATTATCCAAGTAACCAGGGCATAGCTGTGAAAATCCCCCAAACACAACCTTCGGCAGTGTGCGAAGAGCGCACCCAACCATCACAGGCATGTTGGTTATGTAAAAACTTGTTTGGATTTTTTTTGTCAATTATTTCTAGTTCTAATTTTCTTAAGTTGTTTATCTTCCCTTTGTCGCCGACTTCTGTACATTACTCTGACCCTCTGGTTGAAATTTCCCTGCAGGCATTGCTTTATAGGCTCTCTGGTGACTATAATCCTCTGCATTCAGATCCAGAAGTTGCAAAGCTTGCCGGGTTAGTGAACCATTTATATAGCTGCTCATTCAGATTAGTGTTATGCGACTTCATACTTTCCCAGTTTGCTACTATTCCTTATAGCGACGTTTTAGTTCAATAATTAGAAGATAGAATCACAAACGACTTTGGCTACATTTTCCTAAATCAGAGCATTTTAATACTGCCGCGACTGATACTTGTTTCTTCAACTTGCGCTGAAGATTCCCACGCCCGATATTGCATGGACTTTGCACGCTTGGATTTGCAATTAAAGCAATCATCAAGTGTGTTTGCAAGGGTGACCCAACTGCTGTGAAAACAATATCTGGACGATTCCTCATGACTGTTTTTCCTGGCGAAACTCTGATAACTGAAATGTGGCTTCAAGGCTTGAGGTAAATTTTGTTTTCTGTTTCTCTCTCCCTTATATTGTTCACTGGCAATATAACATATACAATATCCATAGAGACTGTTTTAAGCAATATCCATAGAGACTATTTTAAGCAATATCCATAGAGACTATTTTAAGCAATATCCATAGAGACTATTTTAAGCAATATCCATAGAGACTATTTTAAGCAAAACCTGAACTCGGCTTTTCATGCGTTCACAGGGTTATATACCAGACGAAAGTGAAGGAAAGGAACAAAGTCGTGTTATCTGGTTATGTTAATATCCACGGTTTATCTTCGTCACTTTAGAAGTTTTATGTCCCCAAAGGTTGTCATAGTATCGGAAAGCGCGACAAACAATAAATTTCTGAAAGACTCTTGATGTTTGTCGTAAACAGCCAAAAATAATACTTTTCACTCGAGGTTTGTGATGAAGATGTAAATGTTTTTAAGATGAAGAAAGCTTTGTGGTCTTGGCTCATGTTACCGGTCGTTAAACTAAAAAATCAATACCGACTCAAAAGACCATAATTTTGGGTGTCAATGAAGTGAATCATAAAAAGTGAATCGTATAAAAATTGAATCAAGGAAACTGATAAACGTGTCAAACTGTGTTTATACTCATACAAAGTCCTTTTCTGGACAGAGCTAGTTGAGAAAGATCTCTGGTGCCAGTAGGTAAAGGGATATTTGGTTTTTCACTCTGTCCATGAAGCATTCACCATCTTTGCCATGAACGAATACCTATCAGCCGCTTCATCAATCTGTTGAACATCTCAAATTCAGCCACCCATGCAAAAAATGTATGTCATATAGTGTAAAGCCTAAGCAATGGGAATTTTTCATACCATCTTTTGGGTTGGGCGACCAGCTCCGTGGCCGGCCTTAACTTCTATACGACCAATTATGGGGTTTGTCTGTGGACTATTCTCTAAGCTTGTGCACAGCACGTGCTGCATTGTCTGCAGATGTATACGAGTTTAGCAATATGCACTGCGGACTCCTTGAGAGGAGAGTCAAAATTAAATTAAACATTAAAAAAAAAAGTGGAAACGGACCGCAAGCAACTTCAAAGAGTGAAGTGGTACAACTCTGTCATCGTGATCAGCTGTCAGTAACATGGTTGATGGGTACTGAACTAAATTATCGGTTTGTTGCTCCCATGGCCTCTTCACATTGTGCAGAGGCGAGTACCTTTTACATTCACACCCCAAATTTTAACTTTGTATCAGCATTGTGAAACAAATCAGCACAGCATCAGATATCATTTATATCAACACTTAACGGACTTACTTTATCAGCCAATGAAACTCCTCTTCATTCTCGGAGCAACCATAGTCAGAAGTCCAGGCATGGCCTATGCATATATAACATCTCCCGAGTTATAAATAAACTAAAGGAACAAAAAAGAGAGGGTGGAGATAACTGAATTCACCTATGGTGAACTTGTGAAAACGTAGCATATCCATAACGCCAACATGAGCCAAAGCACAACCAAAAAGGTTTGGTCTCTGCAAAGAATGAAAAATCTTTCTGTCTAAGTGGGCCAACTAAATAAAATGAAGATTGCAAATTATTAGCTTTTATATGCATCTGTATAGACTATTAGGCTTACCTGATTTATGCAAGCACCGATCAGGAGTCCGCCGTTACTGCCACCTTCGATACACAGCTTGCTCGGTTGTGTATAACCAGCGGACACGAGATACTCTGCCCCAGAAATGAAGTCATCGAAGCAGTTCTGCTTTTTGGCAAGTGAACCTGCTTTGTGCCATTCCTCCCCATACTCCCCACCACCCCGAATGTTTGCAAAGCAGAAAACAACACCAAGATGCTTGCTAAGCACAATGCGACTTGCACTGAAAGACGGTGTTATGCTTATGTTAAACCCACCATATGCATAAAGCAAACATGGATGTGATCCATCTAGCTTGATATCCTTTTTCGCCACAATAAACATTGGTATCTTTGTTCCATCCTTGCTGGGATAGAAGACCTATAAAGAGGAGCAAAAGCAACTTTAACATACGCAAAGAAAAAAAAATTGTGAAAGAAATAGGAAGATGCTATAAGAGTGTGTGTTACCTGAGTGGCTTGAAATGCTTCCCTGTCAAATCCGGGTACAACGACCTCCCGGAATACCTTAACTTCTGGAGATTCATTGACTAAGTCACATTTGTAAATCACACCGGGAGTGAGGAAGCTAGTAAAGCTAAAGAAAAAAGAATTGTCCTTGCGCCGAGCAGAAACATCAGATACTGAACCAATATCTAAAGGTAATTGGCGAAGCAAAGAACCAGATTTCAAGTCCCTAATTTGCAGAATGTGCTTTACATCGCTCATATAGCATGCGACCAGTTGATTCCCATTGACTGCACAAGCTGATGCCAGGACATCCTTGTCGTGCTCTTCAACAACATCAGTCCAACTATTTGGTTCCTTTAGATCAACCCGGACTAATTTGTACTTAGGGGCATCTTTATTTGTCAAGAAAGTAAACAGAGTCTCATCATTTGAGATAACACTATATTGCGCGTCAAGTGTGTCAACAAGCTTAATGAATGGAAGAAAACTGCTGCTTCCTCTGAAACTCTCAAGACCTCCTGAAAGTGAAGACAGATCGCAGTAGTATAATTTGTTGACAGGGTCACAACCCTCTCCAATGCTCATGATTAGGTACTGCATGATGTAAAAAACATGATGAAATTTAAATAGGTACCCAAAACTAATAACTGAAGTTCCAGATAAAGAATCAGTAATATACAAAATAAGGTGATAAATTTAAAGCCATGACCATTCAAATAAATGGAGAAGGATATAAATGATTTTGTGACGGAATTTATAGGGGAAAAAAAGTGAGGTTTAAGAACTTAATCAAAGTTAAAGAACCCGAGATAAAAAAACTGGTTGTATTACCTTCCCATCGTCGGTGACTTCAGCTCCAAACATATACTTGGGATTCTCATGATCTCTCCAGCATAAGATATCTTGAGATTGATCTGTCCCAATGGAATGATAATAAAGCTCATGATAGAGGTTAGAATTAGTCTCGGTGCCCGCATCAATATCCTCTCCTTCCCTGCAAAAGAAAAACAGATCAAATTAGCAGAGTAGCTAACCTTTCGGAACTATAATAAAAGGCCTTTTCTAATACATCATGTACGTCTCTTAAGCCAGAAATAATATATTGACTTACTTGGGGGCAGGGTAGCGACCGTAGAAAAATCCCTTACTATCGTGCGTCCATGCTATCCCGCTGAACTTAACCTATTCCACCAAAAGGATAACGACTATATCAAAATTCTTGTTGGTAAAACTCTATTGAACAATGCCACTAATCAGTACCGGCTTAATCATCATACCCATGCCAAAGTATCAGGCTCCACTTTCTTATCATCGATCTTGATCAGTTTAATCGTCACCCAATCGCTACCACTTGAACTAAGACCATAGGCCAAGTACTTAGCATCCTCGCTGACAGAAAAGGTGTTTAAGGCCACTGTTCCATCATCACTAAGAGTATTCGGATCAAGCAAGACCTCTGGCTCAGCATCCAGATCATCCTGAACACGATACCAATCAAATTCAATGAGAAACAATAAAAGATGGCTACGTATTGATCCAAAAACCATGTGTCTCAACAAACACCTGCATGTACAGCACACTTTGGGCCTGTAGACCGGTGTTGTGGAAGTAAAAGTACTTATTCCCTCGCCTGAACGGTGAATCGTAGCGTGGATGATCAATAAGGGCTGTTATATTCTGACGGAGTTTTTCCTTCGTCTCGCACTTGTCGAGCACAGAATCTGTCAATTTCACTTGGTTCTGAACAAATTCTTTCACTTCTTCAGCATCAGGATCCTCTAACCTAGCGAAAACAATCCAGAATGACAAACTCAACGAGAAATTTCAAAGAATGATTCGAAGCATAGCAAACAAAACTAGTAAATCAGACGAACATATCTGGAGTTTATTTTAAAGTCAACCTCTAAGTCAAATCCAAATTGTCTGCTACTGCTTCAGAGAGATACGCAGAAAAATCGAAATCCAATAAGATATCCTCATTTCCTTGGGATTCAAAACCTAAATTGAATTGGAGAAGTTGCAGCTGGAAACGAACTCTTACCAACGATACGGATCTCCGATTTTGACGCCGTGATAATCCTCGACGACGGAATCATCACGCCGAGCCAAAGGATACTGTAATCGCTCGCCTAAGACCGAAAATGATCCCATGATCGCAGAGCTCGGACGGGAAGAAGACGACGAACAACAACGAGAAATAGCCTCGGGTCGATTGGAGAAGGTTTCGTAGAAGGAAAGAGAAGAGAAAGAGGAAAACCGACGTCGTAAGGTATTTATACGAAGGCGACGCGTGCAGCGGAAACGGATTGTTGGGACGGTAACAAACGCGAAAATCTGGGAAGGCGCGTGACGTGCAAACGCTTTGAGCATCGGTCTTCTACTTCTTCACCTTCTTCTTGATATATGGGACGCGAGGAATTATGTCAAAACGGTTTTCGTGGTTCTATCAACATTTTAATCACAGATAGGCGAGGATCTTTATACTAGTCTTATACAGTAAAACTCACATCTCACACTCTCATGTGGGTCAGCTTTGAAAATCATTTTCGGTAGATAATTTGATTACAATTATGAAATTAAAATGTAGCTTGAATACATTATTAATCTGATTTACAATTAATCCAAGTCTCCAAGATCTAACGAATTAACCTTTATAAATGATAACAGAATATAACAGTAATCTGTTGATTTTGAAAAATATCAGAAGGTTAAAGAATCCGAGATAAGAACTAGTTGTGTTACATTCCCATGGTCGTTGGATTCTCGAGCTTTCTGTAGCATAAGATACGGTGAGGAATGTGGATGATATACTCGGTTCCTTTCAAATGCATTTTTTATGGGGTACACATTTTCATCGTTTCTAAAAATGACGCCTAGGATAATGCTGTAGTTTGCTTCAGTTATTAAATTGGTAATATAATCTTTATATCTTACCAAAAAAAGCATAGGATAATGTTGTGCATCATATTGGGCATCATATTTAAAGCCTTCTGGGCCAACATCTTATAATACAATCTGAAGCCCATATCATAGAGACATGTTGATATAAACTTGAGTCCATTATAGAGACAAAAAAAAAAAAAAAACAATCTACTCTCATTTCCTCAGAGTCAAAAGTTATCCAAAAATGTATACATTTTATGACAGTGTCTTTCCACCGTTTAGGTGAAAAAGTAGGTTTTGGACTACCGCATTTGTTAGTATTTTTTATAGTCTATTTCACAGTTTGCAGAAGATTTAATCATACGCTACACTATAGATAGAGTCCAGTATAGAAAGTAATTTAGTAATTGAGTTTTTGTGAATTGACCGAACAGGAAGAATAATTAAAGCAACTTTGACCTACATAACGGGGACGGTAAAACGGAGTAGTAGAGCGTAAAAAAG